TGTGCTCACAAAAGCAAATCAATTTCCAGTAGCCCCACCCCTGAACACATGGAACTTTGGGGGGGGACACTTCAGAGCCAAACCACAAGGGTGAACTTGAAAAAATTACAAAATACTTCCCATCGTCACTTAATTCATCTATAATATGAAGTTAATCATACTGACTCACAAAACAGATTATGAGATTAGAAGGAACTCATCTGAATATCTAAAAAGAAGTAAATGACAATTAGATCTCAGCAATGTTAGTTTCTTTCCAGTAACTACCTAATGGCCCTTACTCTTGCCCTTTAACCCATTGTTTGTCAGTAACAAGTAATGACCATGGCATAGTGAAAAGAACAGAAGGACCGAGAATTAGAAGAAATAGATTTAATCCAAGTTCTGTTTTACATTTGCTATCTGACTTGAGACAAAATTTTTGAGTGTTCTGAGTAAGCCATGTGTCCTTGAAAAATTCAGTTAATATTTTTGAACTTCTAACTTTTAGAGGTAGAATTGAGACAAAAATATTCATTAATTTGAATATTTATGATCCATCACAGAATATCTACAAAAAGGATGAACACAGATTGCACTCAGTGCTCCCTCTCCATCCAGGCTCTTCATCCAGGCTCTTCATCACAGTCACCTGATGAGAGCAGACACCAAGCTTTGAGAGTACCTTAGGGGTGCTGCATCATTTCCTCATCTGCTGCATGAGAATAATCCCACCTTGCAGGATGGCATTAGCTAGTAAGAGCAGCATGTACAAGGCCTGGCACTTAAATACACTGTGCATTCAACAGTTCATTGTTACTGTCATTATTATTACCACTGCAAGACATTTTTAGTCCAGAGGAAGAGTAATAAGTTGCAAGATACATTTGTGATTTCTCTCTTCAGCATTATATTCTGAAATCTACTGATGACTAGGTCTTATTCTAATTTAAGTCAGGTTGTTTTAACTTGTCGATATGTAAGCACACAGGCAAAAGGATGACAGGAGACATTTTAATATCTCCTTAATGAAAGTATTTCTCAAAAGCTTACATCTAATAAGTAGAACTGTTTAGGAACAGAGATTTTCTTTAGCCATAAACTCATGTGGGAGAATTAGAAATAGACTTCCCATTATATGTGGAATAACCTAAATTTGGGATATGAATCTGGGCAGGTGGATGGAAACCTACTTCTGTCTAATAAGACACTTGCACTGTGGATATCTTCTCAGAAATCACCAAGGTCAGTGACCAAAGGATAAAAAGCAGTGGCTCCTGAATTTGGCTGTAGACCACACTGCCAGGTTACCTGAAACAGTTACTGTTAAGTCTCCCCAGGAAATGGCAGTGTGCATCAAAGTTTGGTTTAACAACACTGTTAGGATCAGACTTCATATCCTCATTTACATTGGCATACCCTCCTTAAGTATTCCCTCCACCACTGTCCCCAACTAGAAATCTGAGACAGGGGAACACAGAAGTCCCTCCTGATGGTACACACACGAGCACAGTAGCCTCTGGGGCTCAACACATGGTGCTCCTTGCCCTAGGCCCTGCTGACCTCCTCTGCCTCTCTGGCTTTGAAGTCTATCTTTTTCTCCCCTGCCCCACTGCAGGTTCCCTCAGGAAGACTCTGGAGCCAAGCTCACAGGATTAGGATACAAGCCTTTTAAAGGTCTTTTCACCCCTGTGTTGGCTGGATCTAGACTTTCAGGTTTCAGATTTCTCTGAAACCATTGACTGTAATCATTCACTCACAGGAGGTCTGTTCTTCCAATTGCTCTATTGGTTCCTGAACTTCACCGTCCTAAACTTAGTGCACAGTGAAGTGGAAATTACGAAGACTGACACAGGATCTTGGGTGTGTATACACCAATGCTGGGTCTTGGGCTGTCTCCATAGGTCAAAACCCCCCAGCCACACGTAGCCAGCCGTGATGTCTCTCCTGATCCTCTCAAGCGGTGTGAATGTTCCTCAGTCTGAGACCCCACAGAACTTCACTGCTGTAGCTGCAGCATCATCTGGTTGAAGGTCATCATACTGACCTTGTGGAGTGAACTCCAGCACCCTTAGCCCTGTGACTTTGACTGAGCTGATTAACTTTCCTGCAGCAAGTCTCCTTTATTGATAAAATTACTTTTGAAAGTTAGGATGAAAAATACGATAAATCCAAACTGCCTCTTTGGGGCCTGAAACATACTAGACATGCAATAAACAACAGCTCTCCTTTCTTCTGGGCCAGATCATATTTTGACTTACAGTATGGTTATCTGAAAACACTTTTTAGGCTTACTTTTGTTGTCCAGTTATTAAGACTGAGCCCAGTGGTAACTGAGCTCCATCCCAAGCTCTTTTTATGTTTAATTCTGAGATGCATTCTCACTAAGTTGGCTGGCCTTCAACCTGCTATCCTCCTGCCTCAGCCTCTCAACTAACTGGGTTTACAGGCAGGTAGCATCACACTAGCTTCGGGTTAATTTTATTTTTTAATTATCTGAAGTATTAGTTGAGACATTCATTAATACTTATTTAATTTTAAAATAAAATATTTAATGCTATGACCTTGTTATATTTAATTAATTCATATATCAATGATGTTTTCCACATAGCTAACCTTAAAAATATTCAAGGCTTAAATAAGGGCTGAGAATATAACTCAGTGGTAGAGTGCTTGCCTACCATAAGCAAGATCTGTATCTATACCTATAATCCCCCCTCTCTCTATATCTAGATATCTAGATATCTATCTTAGATAGATATCTATCTATATGAGCAAGATACACATATATATTTATATACATACATATACAGTCTTAAATAATATAAGGTTATATGTAGTTGGATGATTTTTTTATTTTAGTGTAGAAAGCTGCTAAAGCGGAAATGAGCCTGAGGAAGTAGAGTTGGCTTTCTGCTCAGGGAGTTGCCGCTCACCTGGCTAACACGTCAGCTGCTATGAGCCCTGCTTCTGAAGGTCTTAGAGGAACACAGCCTGGGTATGCATAGATAAAAAGGGGAACCCAGAGAAAGACACTTGGTTTCTACTTTGTTCTCCCCCCCTTTTTTTTTTTTTTGGTACTGGGGATCAAGGCAGATGCCATTCACATTTGGAGTGGAGTAAGAGCACAAACTACTTGTTTCTTGTTCTTGGATTTAATGTGTCACTGCATAATGTAACTTTGCCCTAGGGGATCTCCACTTTGATCTTAAGGAAAGGACTTTCCTTCCACAAAGCCAGTAACAGAAAGTAAAACAATCATTGAAAGGTATGTGTTTACAAACTCAAGAGAAAATAGTGACAAGCAATCTTGGTTAGTACAGAGACCCTATATGTAACAGTATTTATGAAACTCAACATTGCATGGCTATATCTTATAGACTTAACAAAAAAATTCATTCCAAGCTAACTTATTTTCTAGTAACAGTTTATTCCACCTTTGCATAATCCCTGTTTCACACGAAGATAGCTGATTAAATATCGTCTTTGCTTTGCGAAGACTGATATTCAAATTTGATGCTAGTTAAATCTTCACATTGAGGCTATACTCTTAAGTGAAATTAATAAGTCACACATGTGTAAATACCAAATAGTTTCTCTGGTATGAAAAATTAAAAGTGTAAATAAAGGTCAAAATGTATAATTGATATTGTGTAACAGGAAGAAAAGTCTAAAGAGTAGAGGAAGTGGGAGAGGTAGGGAAAAGGGAAAAAAGGGAAAAGAAAAAATATTTAAAAAGGAAAAACATGGAAACAATGTCTTTGTAAACACGGAAGGGTGAGGGGGCGAAGGGAGGCCTGTGGAATGGGGAAAAATAAGAACCACGATAAGTCTTGTAAAGTTACAAGATCCCAATGATGAATGTAACTGTACTGCATACCTAAAAATGTATCACTAAACTTAATAAAGATTAAAAAACAATAGGGAAAGCATGAAACTTTAACTGAAAATAAAAAAATTACCAAGCAGCTAACGAAACCCATCATAAAGACAATGTGTTTTACACGGTATCTCGGCTGTGTGTGTAACCTAATTCTACCTCTAGGGAAAAAAATGTAGTAAAAACTAGTTTTATGAATGAGTTGATTTGCACACACTGAAAAGAAAAAAAGAAAAAGCTTAACGTTTTCAACCCAATTCTGTAAAATGTGAAACATTATCTACAAATAGCTTGATAAGCAGATATCTGTTTGAGCCCACTGAACAGAAATGCATATTTTAAACTTCCTATCATAAGTTTGGCTATGTGTTAACCATTAAAAGGTTTTTTTTCTTAAAAAGATCTTTACGAAATCACGGCCTGCACACGGCCTCTGGAGGAGCCCCATCCTGCGTCCCGGCTGCAAGAGACTGGCGAGCTCAGCCCGCAGCAGCGCGGTCCTCCGCCCCTGCACCGAGCGCGGCCGGGGAAGCCCTGCGCG